TTTTCTTATGTCTATATTGATTTTTCCTATATAAGTTTTTTAATAGATTTTCAATTGGAATTTGTAAAATTATCTTCTAATAGTCACCTAATTTTATTAAATATTAAAAAAGGGAAAATTATAATTTTGGTGCACTAATTTTAACTAATTCTCATTATTACCCATTGCCTTTTTAGGGTTACAACTTAGTAAAATAATTTGTCATTTTTATTAATTTCGTCCAATAGCTTTTTAGGGTTTTAATTTTGTAAAATGTTTTTGTAAATATTTATATTTATTTTTCATTTTATTATATATATATATATAATCGATGCTAAACCGTTTTTGAGTTATAGTCTTCATTCGTCAGCTTCGTGTTGGAGTTTTTTGACTGTCACAGCTTTTTAAACTTTACAATTCTAAGATTATTACTTCATAATTTTAAAATTGTGTCTTCTAATAAAATATCAAAGTTCATAAAGTTTAAAAATGGTGATCTCTAATAAAATATTTAACTTTTAGATAATTGAAGATTTTAAGATTGAAGTTACAAGTTTAGTAATTGAAGATTTTAGATTGAAGTTACCGCAACGCGAGATCTCGTCGACTTTTACAATCAATTCTATATCCAAAATTAGCTAACGATATCTTGTTTTGCTGGTTTTTGTTTTATGTTTACAATACCTTTCAATTTATTTTAAGTTTGTATTTGTAAACAACGAAAAATTTCGACTTAAATTAAAATTAATCGAAAAAAATAATTTCGGTGTTACAAAATACAGTTTTCTACGCCAGGTTACTAATAAAAAGAATTGTTGAAAAAAATAAAAAAATAAAATGAGAACATAGATTAAAGTTGTATTTTTTATTTTTTATTCTTATTGAATAATATAATAAAATAAATTCAGCGAATATACCAGCTCAATAAGTGCCCAAGAAGGCAGAAACACACATATTTGGGACTTCCCAAAAAATAATTATATTTTCCACATCGAGTCAAATCTCAAAAACGAGCTGAAAAAGGCCTGCGGTCCGTATGTAGCATTTGTTTAGATGTTGAAGCTCGATTTCCTGTTTATTTTCCGGCAAAGTATCTGCTGGCGGCGAGGTGACAACGCCGGTAGCAATCGGCGACGTGGGGGTTTCGAAATCAGAGGGCAGGTTCGCTTAATTCAATAATTTCTAACTAATTTGCTAGCTCGCTCCTTTTTGTCCACTTGAATTTGAGAATTAATTACAAAGACATTAACATTATCGCCTATGTTTGTGGTGATTATGTGATTTTTGTGTCTCAGCGTATTTCATTTGGTTGATTGTTATCTGTCAGCATATTTCATGTTATACAGAAGATAATCAGATATAAATTCTAATAGAGGGTTAGGAAGAAAGCTTTTGGGTGGAGTTCGAACTTGGAAACATCCTCAATATTTTGCAGCATAGGAGGAATTAAATTATTGGTATATCATGCTACATATATTCCATTGGTTTTTTGACATTTTGTTTTCAATTTTATGCAGAATTGTGAGAGTATATATATCACTAATTAATCTGCTATTGTTGGTGTTNATTTATGGATATCATGAGTTGAAAAATGTTAGCCTTTTCAGAATCATTGTCCGTATTAATCATTGTTCGAATCTTTATTAAACTGGCTAGGAAATTCATCCATACTACTTAATTTACGAACTTCTGTGTATGTAAGCATGTGTGTTTAGAGAATGCAAAGTGTTGAGATTTCATAGGCTTATCCGATGCAAGGGAATGTTATTATACAGTTATAGAACTAAGGGATTGGACTCAATTGTGGTGTAATTGTTTCTTATTATCTTTTTAGACGAAGAAAACTATTTCATAATGAGAAAGTTTATGTTAAGTGTAGATTACTGATTTGTACTTCTTTAAACCACTCGATTTTTGGTGATCATGAACGGGTTTAATGCATGTGTTGCTTTCTTTCTTACAAGTTTTGATTTCAGACCATTGCTTTCATTTGTTTCTCCACTTGTCTGGACCACATAAAAAATAAAAAAGGGTCCTGATAGCCATAAGAAGTTGTACTTGTTTTAGATATCGTGTTCTTGTTAGTTGTATATGTTGTAATTACGGTTCTTTTGAACTTCAAATTTGCACGTGGTATTTTATTGTGGGTGTCTTTTGAGAAATGTTGAATGCTATGTAGACTCTGCTAAGAAGGAAGTATGGTGATGTCATTGAATAATATGACATCAGCTGTTTCTTTATGCTTTCGACTATCTGAGCAAAATGGCTGTTCGAGTGGGCTGTATTTTGTCTTGCAAAGATTTTTTACATTGGAATGTTTGTGTGACAATATTGGTGATTGCCTATTATTGTACTAATTGTGTGGAACCAAAACTTGCTTGCTTATTATACCTTTTCAATATTGATGCAAGATATTTTATGCTCTTTAGCATGAAATTTGAAGAGATGGTTTTGTTTTGTTTTGTGTTGTTTTGCCTTAGGAAGCTCAAATCGATGATCACGAGCCGGACATCAGCTAGCTTCAACAACTCACACAATCAGAGTCATGGCCAATGATAACAAAGGGATGTACATGTAGCCAATCAGCAGCAGCCACTTGGCAGCGGAGAACAATGTATTTGTAATCTGCTGTATCAGACAATATCCATTGTCTGCTTCTCTTCTCATACATGTATTTACAATTGCTTTCTTGTTGAATGATGTACATTTTGTATACAAAATTGAACTTGTATAAAAGAATATTTCCAACTCATGCACCATATGAAAAATTCCCCTGCTCTGCTCGAAGAAAAAGTTGTCCTTTACCACTTGGATAACACTGATGTAGTCATTCGAAAAAGATGTACTTTCCACTTAGCTAAAGCTAAGTTCCATTAAATAGTCAATAAATTCGACCTTAAACTTTTTTTTTTTTTTTTTTTTTANTTTTAATTGTTGTTGGATCAATTCACATGGTGGGATTGATCATTCGAAAAAAGATGTACTTTCCACTTGGCTAAAGCTAAGTCCCATTAAATAGTCAACAAATTCAACCTTAAAAGTATTATTATTATTATTATTTTTTTTTATTTATTGTTGGATCAATTCACATGGTGAGATTACTGTCTTCATTGGACTGTTTTCCATCATACATCGCATTTTTATACACATGCATCCACATGAGTGTGTGTTATGAAATAGATAGTAATACAGTGATAGAGGTATAGCTCGACCGGGCTGGTTCATTGAAGCCAGTAGGTCGACTAGAGACATTGGGTTGGGTAAAACAATTTCAAGGAAACACAGTTCGATTTAAAATGACCCTGAAACTAATACTCGACCTAACGAGTAACAACGAGCTGGAATTGAACGAGCTAACCTACGTGTCATTTGAACAATCAAGATCTGGTGACCTGAACAAATCCAGCACGTAACATGACCTGAAATCAATAAGACCTAAGGAATAATAGCACAAGGTGAACACTCCAAGATAAGTACAATCATTAAGATAAGGGTTGCGCTTTACTTTGGTTTTGACCTCGGGCAGCATATGCGGATAGTCAGCTGTCGTCTTGGGCAACCCGTTTAACTTTCGGGCAGTCCTTTATTGGGCACCACGACACAATTAGGTAAGATCACGACACTGTAAATAGGAGAAAAAAATGTATGATTAATCCATATCTCCATATGATATATCTTCAATATTTTAAATACAATTCCTTCCATCTCCTCATACTAACTTGACCGTCGTAGTGCTAACGTGAAAAGAACCTCCTCACTTTTTTGCAGGTCATTATTTCAACCGCGAATGCTATATCTCAGGCGATTAAGTAATCGGACCGAATATTTCAATTGATCTAGCCAGCTTGAACTGGAGTTATTTGGTGAAACACAATCATGTTGAATCAATTGTCTTCACTGGATTATTTTTCATCATCGCACATTACTTTTTTGGATCAATTTTTTTTGGAAGTCACTTTATTACTTTATTATTGATAATAAAGCATGTAGGCACTATGCTTGTGTTCTTTCTCAACAAATACAATTAGGCGCCAAAAGGGAGTTTTGATGAAACTGTTTGAATTTTTTAACGTTAGACCTAAATTCCGACAGGCTCAATTAGTCAATTTTACCTAAAAATTCTTGGTCTTTGTTTTCTCATCAGAGTACTGTTAAGTTGTAATATTGTAATGGGGCAGGTTGCTTGTCATGGCCCCATATCTCCATAAAAATAAATAATAATGAAATGAAAAGTAACATGATATAATTAAATAATCACCACAAATATTTTATGGCCCACTTGTTTTGTAATGCGAAAAATATCCTACATGGTAGATTCCTTGAAATCCACTTGAGATACCTTGTTTATGTTGTGCTATGGAAGTGCAAAAAGTCAAGGTTGG